GGGGAGCGGAGGAGGGGCTCGGCCTGGCCCGCGGCGCCTACTAGCCGCCCGGCAGCGAGCGCCATGGCAGAGGAGGTGAGGCGGGAGGAAGCGTCCAGCGTGGGGCGTGGGGCGGGCCCCGACCCCCGGGGCGCTCCGAGGCCCCCAGCGGGCCGCCTGGGCCGCGCCGCGCCACCCCGGCTAGTAGGCGCCGCGGGCCAGGCCGAGCCCCTCCTCCGCTCCCCGCACCCCGCCCGGCCTCGCAGGCCTGTCGAGCCGGCCCCGGGCTCCCCCTGGGCCCAGCGCGGTGCGGGGGTCAGCGCTTCTCTCGGGTCTCGGGACAGGTGAGCACCCTGATGAAGGCCACGGTCCTGATGCGGCAGCCCGGGCGGGTGCAGGAGATCGTGGGCGCCCTCCGCAGGGGCGGGGGAGACCGCTTACAGGTACGGCCCGGGGGGCGAGGTGGGGCGGCTGGGGAGGTGACCTGCCCAAGGGGGCCTGCCGGCGCTGCGGCGGACACTGCATGCCCTTAGCCCCTAGAAATGGCCAGCGGCCTGGGGGGCAAGCAGGCTGCCTCGCCCGATTTGCCCTGGGTTAGAGCCCACCTGCCCGAAAACCTAGATTTCAAATTTGTCAGTCATGCCCTGCGGCTGCTTCCTCTAATTAGGTCGAAAGCACCCAGCACCAGGCCCTGAGGCCTTATTTCCACACTAGCCCGGCCAAAGGGCTCCCCAGGAAGCTGCAGATATGGAGATGGGTCACCTTGGGAAGGACCCAGGGCATAGAGATGGCAAGGCAAGAGTCAGAGTCCTGTCAGCCTCCACCAAGAGGCTGGGCCTCCTCAGGCTTAGCAGGCTACTACCTAGGATTAGTTCTCCCTTCCCCCCTCTGGCCTTTCCTAGCTCCTGCAGGGCTGTGCCCACTGGCTGGGCCCTGAGCTGTTTTGCCTTGCATAATCTTCCCCCACCAGACAGTGGAAGGAGCCTGTGTAGACAGCATCTCTCTTTTGCATTTTAGGTTATTTCTGATTTTGACATGACCTTGAGCAGGTTTGCATATAACGGAAAGCGATGCCCTTCTTCTTACAGTAAGTCACATACTAGCTTGCTTTGTGGGGCTTAACAAGATGGTGGCTCCTAAGTGGCAAATAAAAGGAGTTCTGTGTTTTTGCAGACATTCTGGATAACAGCAAGATCATCAGTGAGGAGTGCCGGAATGAGGTACGTCACCCCCCTTTGTTCAGAGACTGCTATCAGGTGCTACTGCAGATGGTTCTTGGTGGCTCAGGTGGACCTTGTGTCATACACTGGGGTAGTGTTTCCTTTATGTCCAACACATATGATGATTGGTGGTTAGAATATGGATGTGATGCCTGTTGCTAGCTGTGGAGTTTACAAGGGACTTCAACATGTTCTATTTAATCCTCCTGCAACTCCGAGGGGTGGATAGAACCATTATTACCTCCATTTAACAGATGAGAAAACAGGGGCGCCTGGGTGGCTCAGTCGGTTAAGCGGCCGACTTCGGCTCAGGTCATGATCTCGCGGTCCGTGGGTTCGAACCCCGCGTCGGGCTCTGTGCTGACAGCTCAGAGCCTGGAGCCCGTTTCAGATTCTGTGTCTCCCTCTCTCTGACCCTCCCCCGTTCATGCTCTGTCTCTCTCTGTCTCAAAATGAATAAACGTTAAAAAAATTTTTTTTGAAAACAGAGGCTTGGAAAGGAGAAGCATGTCATTCAAGGGTCATATGGCAAGACATGGAGAGCCTGGTTTTCCCATAGATCCGATTCTGTCCCAAACTCACTTGACTGCATTGTGCTATTTCTTTGATGATATAAAGAATAGAGCCGGGCCCGCTGTGCATTTCTCTGCTGAGCTCTGGCTGCCGAGTACCTCTGTCATTTAGCTTCATTTCATTAGGAAATTCACTAAGTTATATACTAAGTGGTCTTTCGGTCTGTCCTATTGGTCAGCTTTTCCAATACTCCGTCATGATTGCTTGCTGTTAAGATAGGCAACAAATTCTAGATAACTCTTCCTTTTCTAAAACCTGTCTCTCTGAGGGGCGCCTGGGTGGCGCAGTCGGTTAAGCGTCCGACTTCAGCCAGGTCACGATCTCGCGGTCCGTGAGTTCGAGCCCCGCGTCGGGCTCTGGGCTGATGGCTCAGAGCCTGGAGCCTGCTTCCCATTCTGTGTCTCCCTCTCTCTCTGCCCCTTCCCCGTTCATGCTCTGTCTCTCTCTGTCCCCAAAATAAATAAACGTTGAAAAAAAAAAATTTAAAAAAAAAAACAAAAAACCTGTCTCTCTGAGATACACTTTTAGCTTTACATAAGTTCTCACACTGATTACCTTTAGCAAGTCACTTTTTGTGGCTCCTCATGTGTCTGATCTTATCAGCTTCCAGAAAGCTGTATCCACAAATATAACAGCAGGTTTGGGTCCCCTCTCTAGGATAATGAGGCTAGGGAAAACTAAGATTCTGGGTGTTGATGAGCTCCTGAAAAAAGTCATAAAGCAAAGCTTATGGATGAAATCTTTCTTCTTTTTTAAAAATGCTATTCTTCTGTTGAATTCTCTTATGCTTTTAGAAGACTGTTCTCACACCCCCAAAAACGCACACATTGAGAACCTCAATACATTTCGGGAGCTTTCTCCCCTTGTCTGTGATCTTTGTACTTAACTCTCTTTTGGAACTGTGGTCAGGGACTCCACATTAGCTCTCATAATATTCTGAGATTGTGCCTGTATTAAAATTAAAATCCTTTACCCAATTGGTTCCCGTTTTTATTGGGTGCTGT